TCAAACGTTCTTTTACTCTCAAGTCAACTGAACTGTCAACCTTTATCCGTTTGACCAGGATTGAAACCGACAGCAAAAATTTAAATGGTCACCGAATGATCAACTGATTCTAAAATGAGACCACAATTTTTCGAAAGAGCAAATTGAAATAGTTTAAGCAATAATTTAGATAAAATCATCTATTACTTACGCACAACGATGAAGATAAATAGTTTAAGGTCACTAACACTAATGGATGGATGTTAGATGTCAAAAAACTTTGGTCAACAAGAGGTGATAAGTTTTAGTTGATAATAAAAATGGGTTATTAGCATGATGAAAATACAATTATCATCGCAACAACACTTTACAAACCTAAAACCAGATAAATTAAATATAAATGAATACAGATTGATGGTGAATCAATAAACTAAATAATTTTCATAGATGTTATGTTATGAAAAATGATAACTCTGTTAGCAAAACAAGAGCAAACAAAGCGTAGTAACCAGAGAACCAGTTTAAGGCTGGTGAAGAAAATCATTTTGGCGGGTATTTTAACTTTTACTCTCTTTGAAATAATTAAACAAAGTTGATTAACTCATTCTATTGTCAATTAAAATGATGAGCTGGCCAAGTAATAATTGAATTACCCAAAATAATCAAAGTCTATAATTAAATGGATACAATTGTTCTTGATTATCATTGTACAGACTGAATTCAATATTAGTGGTAATTAATGTTGGTATAAATGGTATAAATAGTGGTAGTGGTTCCCTGTCCGTTCACCAAACTAATTCTTTGAGTAAACAAAAGCTTGAAAATGTTTTACAGCTTTTAACTTTCTTTTAATTTCAAGTCAGAGTCAATGTTAATTTTTGGGTTAATCAAAGCCCATTATATCATAACAAAGGTCTAAGTATTCAGTTAATGGAGTAGCGTTATTGATATAACTATCAGTTTAAAATGTGATCATTAAGTCGAGCATATTTTCGGTGAATGACCAAAACTAAAAATGATTAGAATTACCTGCTTCTGCCATCTTTATACTTTATATTTGATTGATTTAATGTGTTCATGATCTGTTCATGGCATATTCAAACCATATGAATTTTAATAAAAAATAGATCAAAATATGTTCATTCAAAGCTTAGATTTGAAACAACTAATTGATAATCTCGAAGCAAAGCTGGAAGATTATTTTTGTTTAGAGCTGTAAAACATGTTCTTGTTTTGTTTGCTCAAGAATTAGTTTGGTGGTATAAATAGTGGTAATAAAAGTATAGTATTGTAAAATGTTTTATAAATCAATGAATAGATAATTTTTGCTTATGTCATCATCGTTGGTTCGTTATTGATCATCTTTATCTTTAGCACCATGTTTAAGGATTTTTGTAAATTCAGTATAGTTGAACATTCCACCTTCATCGATTGGAGCTTCTCTATACATTTCATCGACCTGAATAGATTATTTGAAGAATAAAAAATGAAAAATATTAATAAAATGAATTGAGCCAGGAAATGCACTAAAATGAAAAACAAAAAGTAACAACAAGCTTACATCTTCATCATTGAAACGATCACCAATTGTAGTTAACAACTCTCTTAGTTTTTCTTCATGGATCAAACCATTGTTATCTTCATCAAAACATGCAAAAGCATTTTTTATCACATCTTCAGGATCTGTACCTTGGAGTTTCTCACCGAATAACGTTAAAAACATGGTAAAATTTATTGGACCAGGAGCTTCACTCATCATTCCTTCCAAATAATTTTCATCTGGATTTTTACCCAAAGAAGCTAACATCTCTTGTAGATCATCTTTATCAATAAATCCATCACGATTTTGATCAATCATATTAAAAGCCTCTTTAAATTCTTGAATTTGGGCTTGGTCAAACATAGCAAAAACATTGCTAGTTGCCCGATGAGCTCGTTTTTTAGCGAATCCACGACCCTTTCCTTTTCTGGTATTAGACATGCCAGAAGGTGATGTTGAACTATTGGAAGCCGTGTTGATTGATTAAAATTTTTGTACCTTAACAAAAATAATTGAAAAATAATTTAAACAAATAATGACACTAGATTATAAAAAAACTAGTCAATGAAAACACAACAGTTAGTAAGACAAAACAAAACAATATGTTGAAACAGGGTGAAAGTGGCAAAGAAAAAAACAAAATGAATGTTTTGCAAATCTTTCCCTTGATAACTGTCTACAGATGGCGTTAACACCATTAAATCGTCAATACTTTTACATAATCATCCTCATTATTAATCATAAGTAATCATACACTAGTATAATTAAAAATAAAACTAATTACCGGATATATAGTGTAATTTTTTTACTATTACGTAATCTATTATTTGTATTCCGGCAGTGGTTGCTATTTAATCAGTCTTATGATTTAGTGACTAAGCATTCCATTAAACACAACAAAAATTACTTTTGTTTCAAGCCTTCTAGGTTATATTGTTTTAAGAAAGGGTGTGTTTCATTTCCCATGATACAAACATCTTCAGCTGCATAATTATCACATATCATATTAAATAAATAACAGCAAAGTTTCCTCTGCCAATAAACTGTACAATAATACGGATTTTACTGTTAAAGTAGATTAATTTTATTATTCAAATTGAGAAGCAAGAGCAATGAACTGGGAAGGAATAAAGATTTTCTCTTCTTGAAGTATCTTGAATCATTTTCAAATGCTATTATCAACGATTTTGTCTGAATGTTTGCTATGAAACGTCAGAATACTCTCTGAATTCTTGGTATTGACCACCACGAATACGAGCCATAATTCTAGGTGCTATGAAGGTAGCTAAGATTCCAAAAATAATGGACAATGGTATTGACGAAAGTGACAACAAGACCAGGAACTAAAAAATCAAAAGATAGAAAAAAAAAATTATGTAAGCAAGGTAAAATTGAAATGCAAACAATTTCCTTACCTCCTGATTTTACAATTTTAGGTTGTGGAGGTACTGGAGCAGTACCATTAAAGTGTAATTCATCAGACCAATCTCCGCAGTCATTAACATTATTACATCTTTCTGATGGATTGATACATCTTCTAACATTAATGCAGCGATCAGAACAAACTAGAAAACAGAAATGATTGGAAAATTAGTAATTTTGGTGGTAAAAATGTTAGATGAAGACAAGAAAGTTAAAAGTTAAATTACCCAAAGTAGACCAGTTAATCTGAACAGGATTAGAACTGGTAGTAAATTCCACTATTATTGTTTCAGTGCTTGAGTTGTAATAACCAGATCCAGTTATGTTAAGAGTGCGAGCATCTTTTCGGCTATTGGAATCATATACTTTGGCATCTTTTAGACCATCACTGAGGGTGAAGTTGAGAAAGTTGATAGTTTTGGTGTCTTCAATTGGTGTTTGAATAATCAAAATGCATTTTTTGGTTTATCAGTTCCATTTATGTTCAATAGGCCAGATTTGTTCATAGAAACACCTCCACATTCAATTGGTTCAAGAGTAGCATTGAATCCTCGGCCACTTAATCTTTCCCCAAGAGTTCTTACTGTTTTCGCATCACTGTTGAAAACTCTATTGAAGTTAATAGCAACTTTGTTGGAAACAATTGTGTCACCAGGAATGTTTGATTTGGTGAGATTCACGGTCCCTGTTGATCCAAGAAATTCTAAACTATGATTATCGACGAGGTCTACATCGTTGAAGCTAATGTAGATATTTGATGAAGTCGAGTTCATATGTCTACAATTTTTGGTCATCGTCCATTCTGTCAAAGGATAGTTGTTTGGATAATCACAAGAAACGAAATTTTGCTTTGCAGTGACTTCAATATTTGCACAGGCATCATATGAAATAGTGTCAATAGATGCCTGGATCAATGTTATGGAATTCTTGTCACATACATCAGCTCTTTGATAAATAATACTATGGGAAATATTTGCATCCAGGTAGAATGTTGGCAGGCTCATGGCATTTTCTCCCGTAATCGTGAACTCATGTGTTCCTCCATATGCATAAGATTTAATAGACATTGAACCACCTTTTTCGAGAGCCAAATTAGAAATTACTAAAGATTTGACCATCTGATGCTCCTGGTTTGAGTCGGTGGGTTTTGGAGGAATGAACCAATTGTATGCACTCTTGCAATCAAGTTGATTACTAAAAAGCACAAGATTGCCTTTGCTTTGCCGAGCAGTAGATCCAAGATTAGCAGGTTCTGATTTCAGCTCAATAATCATTTTACTTGGAAGTTCTTTAAAATCTAGAACTAAAAGGTCAGAATTTGACCAGAGGCTGTCAGGGCAAACATCATCTGCTTTGAAAACAGCAAGCAACTTGTCGGAGCTCATTATAGGTGAATCATAAATGTAGGTGTTGTTTGCAAATTTTTGTCCAGGAGCAGCAGATAAAACAGCATTCAAATTTGCGTTTGCTTTGAATAAAAATTTTGTTGGCATGTTAGGAATACTGAAATCTAGTTTCTGACCACCAACAATGTAATTGTTGACAACAGGTCGTAAAACATCAAAATGTGGGTGTTTACCGTTGGTTTCGAATGCTTCATAGGTTATATAGAGTGAAGATGAGTCGAAAATTGAATTGTAGATATTTGTCCTGATATCAGCAAAGTTTGTCGACGAAATCACGAACATAACAGGTGATGATTTGCGGTTACCTTTGCGAACCACGAAGGAATTGCCAGCTTGCACGTCAATTGGCTCTTTCGAGTCAAAGTTGATGTTGAGCCAATTTTTTGGGTTGTCAGACTGAATGATCCAGATGCATTTTACATTAATCAAATTTTCAGTCAAGTCCTCAGATTTAACAGCAACAGTTGTTTTAGGCTCTTTATCAGTCAATGAAACATAGGAACTGCATGCACCATCAACGGAATAGATAGAGATAACTAAAGTATTACCAGCAGATGAAATATTTTGAATGAATAATGTGATTTCAATGGTATTATTTGAACTCAGATAATCGTGCGAATTTTGAGCCCAAATGGTGTCGAATTTCACAAAAATACCTGCAGATATTTCGTACACACTAGCAGCCAGTTTTTTATTAGATTGGCTTGTTTGAAGTGCAAAATTTAATGTCCATTCTGTTGTGAGTACATCAGGTTTACCTGCAACAGGCAGTAGCTTCAAACCTATGTCGCCTAGAATTGGTATAGGAGCCTTATTGTCTTTCATTTCCAGAAACAAATGGAAACTCCTTGTTGATGAGTTAACAGCACTTGTGATTAACTGAAAAATAAGTCTATTCTTGGTACCAGTGAAAAATAGATTGTTTGAAACTGAATCTGTTATGTTGACAATTAGCTTAGTCTCATCTTTATCATTAATCGAAAATATGGTCAGATAATCTCCGCTTTCAAACTCGATAGTCTGCAGGAACAAAAAGGCTTCAACTCTATCTTTTGCACGTGGTTCCGGCTGCAAGATCCAACAGCAATTTTCCCCAGATTCAGCAGGTAGGTTTATGGCTCCAGTGGTGATGTTGACATAGACACATTCTGCCTGACAAACACTGAAATCTGCAGACTGGATGCCTTTGATGGAAATAATAACTAAAAAACTAACAAAATAAATAGCAGACATTTTGTTGATACAATGATGTAATCTAAAACAGTCAATCTAGCAATTCTGGATATTATGTAAAGCTGAATAAGCCAACGGAAAGAATTGATGAATTTTTGATGAAAGATATCGAAAAATATCACGTTGTTCTGGTCTATCTTAGACTGGTATCAAATAATCTAAATAAATCCAGACTAGATTTAGCTAATAAGATTTTATTTGATTAAAGAAAAGTTAGTCAGCTCTAAGCGCTGGTACTTTTACTCCAGTCAGCTGAGACTTTGAAGATTAAAGCGTGAGCTGACGGGTTCTCGTTTACCCTTACCGAAAGATTAATCAATGAACGGCTCGATCCTTTTTTATTTCATATTTAGCATGTTTTTATCGGTCGAAAATAACGAAAATGAGATAATTTTATTTCATTATTGCGCATAAATATGAAACTCATTCGCCCGAACATTACATTCATAAAAAAATTGATATCAAAAGTAAAATTTTGATCAAATCTAATTCAAATTTTCCCGCCTATTCTTGCACAATGCGCTGAGTATCATAATACTCAGCTTGAACAGAAAAAACACAAAAAAGTCATTTCTGAACCTGAATTTTTCTGTAGACCTAGTTGTTAGCATAAAAGTAATAAAAAACTAATTTAAAACGCTTAAATGTGAAAGTTTTGGTTTAATTTCAACCAACCAAAAATTTTGAAAAAGGATCGCTTGGGATCGATTAAAGCTCGATCCCGAATCGAAGTTTTGCCTAACGATCCGAGGATCGGATCGATCCTAAAAAACAGCGATCTGGTGTGTAAACATGATTTTTTGGAATTACTCAATTTTAATTGATTCTGAATGGGGAATGTTGAATCATTGTTGAATTATCGCAAGGACTTTCAACTATACACGCCTACGACCAGGTAAGAAAATAAAATAATTCATAATTCACTTCCTTTTATGAGATTTTGTCTTTACAAAACTTGCAGGGTTAGACCCTTAATGAATGTAGAGGAAACCTCTAAATGAGAGCAGGGTTTGATCCTTACAGATCACAGGGCTTGACCCTCAATGAGTATACCAAATTCTATGCACAAAAAATATAATACAGATATAATTTCTCAATACTCTAATCACCCGGATCCACGTGTTAACTGAAAGTAAAAATATCGTCTGACTTCCTAAGACACAGAAACGCATGGCATAAAGATATAAAATGCGCGGGCCTAGCATAACGTGGCCACTAGGGGAATGGATTCTGAGCCATTCAGCCATGTTACACTGGCTCACAAGACACACTCTATGGTGTGGTCATACATTGATCTTCTCAGGTCTAGATTAAGTGGCTTTTCTCGAAAAATAGACTTTACGGAGCTTTCGCATGACTATCTCAAACGAGAAATGGGTACTAAATGGTCAAGCTTTTCCGCCAGTCAGAGTAAATTGTTGTTCCTGGCAAAATTTTATTTTGAATTACATCAATTAGAGTCTTTTCATCCCTTTTCTCAACAATTCATGCGAAAGTTGCTTTCGATTCCCTTCTATGCCACCAAAGACCCAAACTTGTCTTTTTTGATTTGACGATAATCGTCCACGATTGTATTTGCGCTTAATTATCATTGTTTCGTCAATTTCTACCACCTTCTTTACCTGTACCTCCAATCATTTGTTATCTTTATTCTTTATATTGTAGCATACCTAGCAACAGCAGAGAAAAAGTTAGAAAATATTTCCAATAATTAATATCATTACTTACCATTCTTAGCATTCGAAAATGATGTGAGACGGTTTTCTCATTAAGCCCTAGATCCATTGATGTCATTTTGATCGATTTGTTTTGACAACAAAAGATGAGTTTCAGGTACACCAAAACCTCGTATATTTTGCCTTTTTGGAGTGCAGACATCTAACGTTCAAAAAAATAAAATGAGCAAATTTTTCTTTACGGTCTTCAATTTGACTAAATAGGCTGATTTTTTGCTAATTTCACAAATGTAAGCAGCCTTTTCAAGCTCTCTAATTGTGGTCAAGCCCCATCGGTTTTCAGGTCTAGAAAAGTTGTAAGCAACATATAATCCTGAATCAGTAATAAGTTTAGTATCGAGAGTTATTGGTCTTTCATTGAATATATTTGATCCATCTTTCCAAGTGAAAACTCCCGGTTTATAAGTTTGACTGCCTGAGGTAAACCATTTTTCATGAACAGGGTCGATGTCCTTCAATACCTCAACGATGAGATAATGTTCACTAATGGTATGAACTGATACCAAGTTTGCACCAAAATTTTCACAAAATTGATTTGCTTCGAGCCATGTTAACTTCGGTGAGCGTGTAAAAAGATAGCAAGATTTTCCAAGTGTATACCAAGGACGTGGACAAGTTGAAACCGAACGACTTGAAATCGCAAAATGAAAAAAACAAATTAACAGCAGCGCAAAGTATTTAATAGTTGTTGTTAATTCCATCCTCAGGTTCTGTTGTTTAATCTAAATGAAAAGACGATAAATTCATTAAAAGGTTGAAATGATTGTTGAGAATGTTTATACACATAGATACGAAATATGTTGGTTTTAATAATTAGAAAAAGAGATATTTGAAAAACTTCCAATGAAGTGAATAAAGGAGAAATTTTTATCAAAGTCGTTCAGATTAGTGATTGAATATCTTATAATGTTAGACTAAGTATATCATCGTTAGTTTTATATTTCACCTTATCTTTAAAGTGTTTAATCAATTCCATTTCAATGAAAACACCACAATAATCTCTCGAATCGCTAGATAAAATTAAGAAATACATAAGTTAAAATAGTAATGATGATTTTAGAAGTTCTAAACAGATTCGTGTAAATTTTCATCATTTCGGAATTCAGCTATGTTTAGATAGCAGATTTCTAATTCATATTCATATTTTTGATCTATAATCAAACGTTCTTTTACTCTCAAGTCAACTGAACTGTCAACCTTTATCCGTTTGACCAGGATTGAAACCGACAGCAAAAATTTAAATGGTCACCGAATGATCAACTGATTCTAAAATGAGACCACAATTTTTCGAAAGAGCAAATTGAAATAGTTTAAGCAATAATTTAGATAAAATCATCTATTACTTACGCACAACGATGAAGATAAATAGTTTAAGGTCACTAACACTAATGGATGGATGTTAGATGTCAAAAAACTTTGGTCAACAAGAGGTGATAAGTTTTAGTTGATAATAAAAATGGGTTATTAGCATGATGAAAATAAAATTATCATCGCAAAAACACTTTACAAACCTAAAACCAGATAAATTAAATATAAATGAATACAGATTGATGGTGAATCAATAAACTAAATAATTTTCATAGATGTTATGTTATGAAAAATGATAACTCTGTTAGCAAAACAAGAGCAAACAAAGCGTAGTAACCAGAGAACCAGTTTAAGGCTGGTGAAGAAAATCATTTTGGCGGGTATTTTAACTTTTACTCTCTTTGAAATAATTAAACAAAGTTGATTAACTCATTCTATTGTCAATTAAAATGATGAGCTGGCCAAGTAATAATTGAATTACCCAAAATAATCAAAGTCTATAATTAAATGGATACAATTGTTCTTGATTATCATTGTACAGACTGAATTCAATATTAGTGGTAATTAAATGTTGTTTAAAACATTAAATTGGTTAAAAAATATAATAAAAAAATTGTAAACAATACAAGCCATTTTGATTAAATTATTTGCTTAAAGATTTTTAGTTTTGCTTGTTTAAAGATATCAGTCAAACAAGAAGTTTAAATTGAACCCAGTGGCAAAAAAAGACCGGGATCGATGGGTAGTTGGCGGGTAATGCTTAAGCCTTAGGGAAGAAGAAGAGGAAGGGAGACACTCACGGGTTGGCGGTTAATGACAATAGATCATCAATTCATGTTTTTCTTTTCTCTCTTTTCTCCATGTTTATGTCTCAGTGATAATTGTGATTTCTGTGCTTTATTACTTCCAATCAACATTTTTCCTTACTGGACGCTTAACTTTGATTCTGTTTTTGTGTGTGGCTGTTACATTCTCTAATTTCACTTTTCCACTGCATGTCTTACGTGAACCATTTTTTACCTTGAGCTTCTCTTTTCCGCTAATATCACCTTTCATACTTCTGCTTCCACCATGCCTGTGAATGAAGCCAACAACGAGAGGGAACAGATTAATCCAGCTGGTGCTGGCAATGTTGGCTCAAGAAATGAACTTACTGCGAACAGGAACATATTGACTAACTCGAATACCAGTCAAACTTCAGCTAACCCATCTTCCAGTCTTGATGAAGAAGTGATTCGAAGACGAGGTAAACGTGAGAGAAAATATAACATAGTCACTCGGAGTATGGATCCAAGGGTACTTGCTACCAGAAAATCGCCGGTTAAAAGACCTCGAAGCAATTCTGCTACACTCGATATTATAAAAATGTTGTAAGTATCTTATTATTTACCTTCTTTTTACTTTTGATAAATCGTTCTGATGATAGAATAATGATGATCAATGCTTTTATTAATCCCACCTTTACTCTGATTTTATAGCGCTGAGTTGCAGAAGTCGCCTGCTAAAACACCTGTTAAGAGGCAAAGAACATCACCACCATCCAGTCCTGGAGTGATGACCAGAAAGCGTTTAAATATGAGTTGTGATTCAGGAATTGGCTCAGCGTCATCGTCACCATCATCTACTAGTGGAACTCGAAGCTCAATATCTAAAAAAGCAATCAGTGTTATCAAAGCTCGCAGATCTCGTCGCAACCTCCGTCGTCTATCTTGAAGGAAATCCATTTTACAAACAAACAAGGCTCCTATGAGCTAATGAATTCCTAAAAAATATTAAAATCTCATGTATAAATTATACACGTTATTTTAGCTATTATTAAAAAAAATCAGCACTCGGTATTAGTACCATCCCTTTACCCTAAATTTACACCTTTTTTTGTATCTCTATTGTCTAAGTTACAATCAATAACATTTTTACCCACCTTCTATTGTAAATAAAATACCTTTGTTGTGCAAATCAAAAATGAAGTAATATACCAAAAAGATGAGCGGCAAAAAGTTAATGTCTAAATAACATGTAGATGGCGATGCACTCCATTTTACCTTCCATAAGTCAGCTTGTCATTGTTTACACATGTGATAACCATTATTCTTTTCATTACCATTCATTACATTTGATTGTTAACAAATAAATCAGAATGACTGATCAACCATCAGGCTCTGCTGCTCCAGGTGGGGAACCTAAATATGATAACATTGCTCGTGTCAAAACCTTAGTGTGGTCTTTGAAACAATCCGTCCAAGTAAGTTTGTTTTCCTTTAATGCAATCTTCCGTTCTCAATTAAATATTTGTCTATTTCGTTTTTTAGGGTTTGATCAAAATTTCTGCTGCGTACATTAGTCACAATGCTGCTGTTGATAGTGGACTGTAAGTTTCAAGTAATTTCATTATGAACTTCTAAACTGAAGCTTTTATCCTTTATTGTTTTTCAGAAAAGCTCCTGATGATAAAGTCTTACCTGCTTTTGATAAAGCTTTTGAAGATTTCCATTCCCTTCTGAATCAGATTGAATTACACTTTGTGAGTATTGATGTTTTCAAATAATATATATATATAAATGTTTGTTAGTAAATTTAAAATGCAACTCTGTTGTTAATAATTCACACAATTTAATTCTATTATTATCTTATTCTATAGAAAACAATACAAGAATGTGCCATTCAGCAAAGACAAAGTCAAAAATACTTACCTGGTCCAGACAAATATAAAGCCGGTCCACCTAAAACTGAACCATATATGGATTCAGGATCAGACCATGAATTACCCTATAACCAATATATTCATCTGATAAGAGGACAATTATCTTTTGTTGAAAGCTTGCAAAAAATATTACTCGATGGGTCCCGAAAAATTGAATTACATCAAACTATTTGATCATCAAGCCGGACTATCCTTCTGCTTCTAATCTTCATACAAATCAAATGATCTGAAGCATAATATTTAATATTTATTGAACAATGTTGAAAGTTCATTAAAAACGTGACAACTCAAAAGAATCCAATTTATCACGACTTAAACGGTCGAGATCTACAAAAAAAAATTTTTTTCGTTCGTGTATTTGAGAAAATCTTACCCAGGATAAATTCAATGGTGAATATACTAATAGACAATTTTATAAAGATGCAATAATATCTGCGAACAGATTGAAAACCAACAATAGAAAGAGGTGAATATAAATGGAGATTTTTGGTTTGCTCTTTGTTTCTTTCGTTAAACGCAGTATATACTTCATACAAAGATACACCTAAATCCTTGCTGACTTCGATTACACCCTTTGATTGTATTTTATCGATAAAATCAGACTGCTGAAATCGGCCAGTTCTAAAAAGAGAAAAAGACAAGAAAAAATCAACGTTTTGGATGCAAAGTCGATAATAAAGTTATTCATTGGTTACAATGCTGTACAACTTACAGATGCATCAAACGTTTTCTCACTTCTACTTTGAATGGACTATCAGTTATTATATATGCTTGATGGACTTTGTGATATGTTTGATCGGACCAATGTAAAATGTGACTCTTATCAGTTCGAAAAAGATTATGCGCTAAGTTTATTACACGACGAATCTTTGATGATGCAAAAATAGCGTGGCCAGGTGTAATACGACTAAATGCAGTTCCAGCGAAGCAGAAAACTGGTCAGGACTACCTTTTTCCATGGCCAATTTGAAGACATCTCTGAAATCTTTAGTCACACCGAGTCGAAAAAGTTCATGTTCGGATAAACCATTGATGAAAATTGGTGTCTTTCGTTGATTTACCACATCACGCAAGGTATTTACAGTTTCTTCACTTGTTACAATAATCATGTCTTTATTGAATGAGGCTCCAAATATAATGGATAAAAATAGCAAACCCAATATTTGGATCGATCGAACCACCGAGCGTTTAGCAAAATATTGGCGAAAAAATAGTGAAGGTAATCGTTGAGTACAACTGATCAACAAATTAACAATGTTACTGAATGAAGTGTCTTTAAAGTTGAGTAAACATTCAATGGCATAAGCGAGGAGCAAAGCAATAAACCATATCTTTGGGTCAAACAGAGTGAAAGTGTGAATAACATCTTGACTTATCGAAGTAGTTGGTCGATAATAACTTGCCAATCTGTACTCATCTTCGTACGCAACTTGACTGAAGACACCCGTTATGTTTGGCGTGTCCATGGGTAGTGGAAGCCAAGTAACGTCAATCTCCTTGAAGTAACAACATAATTCCTGGTCAATAGGAAATATCTCAATAGCTATTAACAGTTATACTTACACCTCTACTCATCATACTCATTATTTCAGCGTAATTACCATTTCCCGAGAGTTGGTCAACTGCACTGTCAGCAATTTTGACTGTTATCCTGTGATTAAACAATGCATTATTAAAAGTTGAACTCTGTAGCAATTTTAGTTTGATCTTACTCAAAGTTACCAAAATTAATAAAATCCTTCAGCATTTCCGCGACTGGCTTCTTGGCTGGAACAATGACTCCATTCACCTCTTCGAAAAGGCTTAGGACACCAACCTACGAATCCATCGAAAGAAACATTTATTAGGAATATCACAGCAGTACATGTTTAGTTGGGCTAACCTGAAATACACCAACTGATACATTCAACTTCTCATTATTTTCAATGGGCATCCTGGCACAAAAACTGACAGAAAGATGGCAACAATAAGTAAAGGTTACATAAAGTTAATGCTTCAAATGTTGATAGACAATAAAGTTTTGCGATCATTGCAAAGGATTGCAATTTTATTTCAAAAAATCCCTTTGATAGTTAATGTGTGAATTATAAAGTAAGATTAATTCAGTTTGATATTGAAAGGTTTTCCATTTCTCACCATTCTTTATCCTTCCATAAGCTATTCAGAGAATATCGATATTTCTTGACAACTGACAATATTTCTATGATAATTGTTATAATAATAAACCTTCATTTTAAGTTATTACCTGTAACATTAGTTTCTACAATTCAACTACCATTAAATTTTAACAGCGGAACATTGTATTTGGGAATTTGAAGCAAAAGTTTCTGTCCGTCTACTTACCATGCTACAGTTATTAATAGCAAACATTTTAGCATCTAGTTAGGATATAATTTTTACAAGCATCAAAATCAAATCATTTGGAAATAAAATGAGAATAGTTATTGATTACTTGAAGGTACAAAATCTCAAGCTTCACTCACAAGAACAGTTTCATCAAATTGAACTTCCTTACAATTCTTTACGATTTATTTACATGATTTTATTCCTTTTAATATCGATTATCAATTCAGATACCCATTTCATTAAAAAACAATGGCGCTAACTCTAATCAAATATTACTTTTCATTTGATGAATAAATGGTATAATATTTGTTTTCGACTTAATGGTATAATTTATTAACATTTGTATTAGAATGCAAGTGCGTCAAGAACGGGTACAAACCAAATTGCTTATTACTTTGTTAGTTTGTAGAGGCATAAAAACTGAGGCCATAAGTGTTATTAAAAGTTTCTCTGATCCACAGTTTTTGAGAAAATCTAATTCAAAGTTGGAACTTCGATCGTCTTTTATTCAGTTATGAAAGCAGATTTTTTCATTTAGTTTACTGCACTACTGTAACTTTCAACGATCAACCAGGCAATGTATTCGTTTAGAGAAATAGAATCTTCCTTTTTCTGTAAAACGGATAAGTTCGATTTTTAGTTAAATAGATCGCTTTCAGTGACCGTAAGACTTAAAAAGCTGAAACTTAATGTCAGTTTATAAGAATTGCTTGTACACATCATGGGTTGTATGATTTCTTCAAACTATCAATAGTTCTCTTGATTTTGGACGTTAACCTAAAAACTTTGACGCTTGATAATTCGAGAAAGGTAGCACTTACAATCATCTTTCCTTCACCCATTCAATCCTTAACTAATTAATAATGCAATCCAATTCAATAACATTCAACAAGCGCATTTTTGTCTAGATTTTCGGGCCGTAAATCTACGTGAAACAACTTATTTAACTAAACAAACTCATAACAGCCAATATCTTGCTAAATGAAGCAATTTTCTGGTCAAGTTTGTAAATGAAATGTAAAGAGTGTTGCCAAAGGCTGGAACATTTGATTTGAGGGTTGATACTTAGTGGACTTTGTAGGGACATAAAAACTGAGTCGGTTGATGCTATTAAATAATTCATCTGATAGATAGTTTTCGAGAAAATCGAAGTCAAAGTTGAAACTTTGATCGCTGTTTGCTCAGCCATAGAAGCATATTTTTTCATGAAACTTAGTTTCAAAATGTAACTTTTGATAGACAACCAGAAAATGGACTTATTTTGATAAAAAACATTTTATTTTTCCTTTAAAACCGATTAGTTCGATTTTTAGTTAAAGTGACCTCATTCTATGATCGTAAAAGTAGCGAGT